GGGGGGGGCTCTTGCCATTGCTGATCGCTCCCCTCCCCCGGGAGGCGGGTGGGGTGGGGAGTGCAGGCCGGGGAGCCGGCTCCCCAGGGGCTGCCTGGCTCGTCCTGCTCTGCCTCCCCCCGGGCTGTGGCCCCGGGGACTGGGGGGGGCTGCTGGGCCGGGCAGGTGCCTCTGACTCTCTCTCCCCCCCCCTCGGCTCAGCGCAACCTGACCACGAGGCAGGAGCTGCAGGAGGAGGCGTCTGACCTGAGACAGATCAATGGGCAGATCAGGTCCCGCTTCCTGCCGGAGATGGTGAGTGACCCCATGGGCCCCTGGGGCTTCCCCCGAGCTGGGAGCAGGGTCCCCCAGGGCAGGGAGTGGGGAAGGGCCTGGGACACGCCGCCTCCCCGTCCCTAGCTGGAGCTGTGGGGGGCAGAGGAATCCCCTCCCACACCTAACCCTCCTGTCTCTGTCCCCAGCAAACCCTGAACCGCAGCATCCGAATCCTGCAGGCGACGACCCCCCAGGTCCCGGTAAGCAGTGCGGGCAGGGGGAGCTGCGGGTGCTGCACTGGGGGGAGGGGCGAGGGGTCCCCAGCACCCTGCAGAGTCTCTGCGCTGCTCAGTGGGTGCTGGGAGCTCAGTGGGAGGCGGCACAGCCAGCGAGGCGCATCCCGGCGGCTCCCGTCCCCAGCCGCTGCCCCATGGATTCCCCCGGTGCGTCTGGCCCAGGCCCTGAGAGGCACCCGGACAGGGTCCCTGGGCAGCCTGGCAGGCAGCCTGCCAGCACTTCCGCTAGCGGCCAGCAGGGGAGCCACCTCCGCGGGACACCCCCAAAGCAAGGGGTGACCCGATCCATGTGGGTGCTAGTGCCCAGCCTGGCCCCACAGAGACCAGTCACCTCGCTGCCCAGATCCACCCAGGGCTGGGATAACAAGAAAGGGGAGGGGGGCTGTGGGTCGGGACTGAGGGGCACCAGCAGAGTGGGGGGAGGGAGCCCAGAGCCGGGCTGCGGGTCGGGAGTGAGGGGCACTGGCAGAGCTGTGGGGGGGCACGGCTGGGCTAGCAGGGGCTGCGGGTCAGGAGTGAGGGGCACCGGCAGAGGGGGGAGCCCAGGGCTGGGCTAGCAGGGGCTGCGGGTCGGGGTCGAGGGGCCCTGTGCTGTCGGATGGGAGCCCGTGGGGACTGGCGGGGGCAGCAGTGTCTCTGCTTTGCCCAGCACCCTGCAAGGGGCTCTGAGCGCCGGGTGTCCTGAGCTGACACTGGGGACCCGACGCTGCTGAGAAGCTGCCACCTTGTGGCCATGTGGGGACAGGACGCCCGGGGGCGACTCCCCTTACCAGGCGACTGCCCGCCAGGACGGGTGAGGGGCTGCCGGGGGCTCCCCCTTCTGCACTGGGGCCCAGCCCAGGCCTGGCCGAGCTGCTGCGTCCCATCCTGCTCCTTGCCCCCCAGGCGCGGATCAATGACACGCTGCAGCGGATCGAGGACGCTCAGACCTTCCTAGACACCAGGGCTGCGGAGATCATCAGCAACGTGAGCCCCTCGCAGCCCCTTCTGGGGAGGGGGGCCTCGGATGAACACCCCACGGCTTCGGGGGACCCTCCCCTCTCCCAGGGCTGCGCAGCAGGACCCGGGACTGGGAGGAAAAGCCCTGCCTCTGCCGTGGGGCTCCCTGCACCCCCCCCCCGCGAAAGCCTCAGGGGGTGCCCGGGGGCAGGGCACTGGGAGGGTTCTGACCCCCTGGGGTGGGGATGGGCAGGGTCACGGCACAGAGCTGTCCCCTGTCCCAGCAGAGACCTGAGCCCACGGGGGGTCCTGCCCCCCCCCGCCACTGGGGGCACGAGCTGCTCTGAACTTTTAATACGCTTGTTCCGCCTCAGCCCCCCTCCCTGGGGGGATCCCTGAGCCCAGGCTCACAGCCGCTGGCCCTGGGTGCAGCACCTCACCCCTGTCCCCCTCCCCCAGGAGAGCCGGGCCTTTCTGAACACGCTGCTGGGATACTTCAATTCCTACGTCGATTGGGCGAAGAGCACGGTGAGTGACACCCCGACTGCGTGTGTGTGTGGGGGGGGGGCTGTCCTGCCCCCGGGCACTGCCAGGGCCCTGCCCTGCCTCACTGTCTGTGTGTCCTCGTGCACCCCGAAGCCCTTGTGTGCCCACACGCTGCCCCCTGACGCCCCACACTGCAGGCTGCCACCGACTCCACTGAAGCACGTTAGGGACGCTAACGAGCTGAGCCTCCTGGCGCCCTGGGGGCAGGGCGGGCTGCGGTTATCACCCTGTTTGGGAAACTGAGGCACTGAGAGAGGCAGGGCCTTGCCCTGGGCACGCAGCGAGTTGTGCCCACTGGGGGGTTCCCTCTCCAGCTGGGCATACCCCAGGCTGCTGGCACTCCCCTTCCTCATCCCAGGGCAGCTCTCCTATTGCCTGGGGTGTGGGGGAGGGACGGGGGGGGGCTCTGGGGGCTCCCTGCCCAGTGGGGGCAGGTTGGGAAGGGCAGGGGCCCGTGCCTGACATGGTGCTGACGGGCCGCGTCCCTGTCTCTGGTTCTGTCCCCAGCTGACGGGAGAGGTGGGGCTCTGTGGGCCTGCGGCCAAGACAGTGGATGTGGCTGTGACCGTCGCCTGCAGTTACGTGGTGGATTCCCTGGTGAGAGGGTTTCGTGGGAGCTGGGCAGAGGGTGCTGTGTGGGGATCGTGGCTCTGGGGGGCCGGAGGGAGCTGTGGGAGTTACACGGGGGCTTTGCGTTCCCGATGTGCCCTGGGGTGAAACCCCCAGCTCCGGGTCCTGGGCGACAGCTGGGCTCACTGACACTGCTGGGCCCGGCTGGGTAAGGAGAGTCCCACAGGACTTGCTGGGTCTGGGCCCTGAGGGGGTGGGGGCTGCACTGAATGCCCCCCAGACTCCGGCAGCATGGCCAGGCCCTGCCGGCCCCGTGGGAGCTGGGCACCAGGCCCTGGCTGTTGAGTTGGGAAGGGTTCAGTGCTCACGGGCCCTGCTGCCCCTTTCCCCTGCCCATCCCTGGGGGTAAGGGCAGCCGCCTGGGTGCCAGGCTCTCAGACCCTGTGTGCGGGAGGCACAGCTGTTTGCTGACTCACCCTGCTGGCCGGATGAGGCGGGTCCCATCCTCTCTCCCATGCTGTGCTCATGAGCCAGCCCAGCCCCACGGCTCCCGCCCCATGCTGAGGAGGGGAGATCCAGCCCACGAGGGGGCTGCTGGGCGGGCGCTGATGACTGGGGGCTTCTCTCCCCTGCCAGAATGGCTTCTGGTTCAGCCTGGGTTGGTGCACTATGTTCCTGCTCCCTGGCGTCATCCTGGCCGTGCGGCTCGCCAAGTTCTACCGGCGCATGAAGACCGCCGACGTCTACGAGTAAGGAGGCTCCTGCGCCCCGGGGCGCGTGAGCACGTCGACCCCCTGCCACGGCCTGACCCCCTGCCACGGGCGACCCCCCGCCACGGCCTGACCCCTGCCCCAACCCCCGCACACCCCCGCCATGGCCAACCCCCTGCCATGGGCGACCCCCCCGCCACGAATGAGCCATGCCCCAACCCCCTCACACGCTCGCCGTGCCCCCAGCCAGGGGCCAAGCCCCTCTCACGCCCCCTGCTGTCCCTTAAGCCCCTGCCACGTATTCCACCACAGCCAACCCCCTTCATGCCCCCTGCCAGGCCCACCGCCACAGCCAACCCCCGCCATGGCCTACCCCTGCTGCAACCCCCTGCCAAGGCCCCTGCCCCAACCCCTCTGACGCCCCCCGCCCCGACTGACCCCTACCATGCACCCAGCCCCACACTGTGCCTTGGAGCAGGCTGTGAATTCACCCTGGCCCCCCTGTGCCACGCGCTGGTCCCCTCCCATGCGCCCCCAGCGGCACAGGGCTCGTGGGCCCCTGCCCATCCCAGCCCCACTGCTGCACCTGGGAAAGGGGTGAGGGAGGCAATGTGGCTGCTGTGAAGGTGGCAGGTTCACAGGCTTCTGCCCATGGCCTGCAACACAGCGGGGCCAGAGAACCAACCCTCCCTCCCGTGGGCACAGAGCTGGGGATTTCCTCCGCACGACCGTGCAGAACGCCCTGCCCTGCCCTGCCCCTGCCCGTACCGTCCCGGGGCAGTGTGGCTGTGTGTGGGGCTGTCCCCGGTCCCGCTGGCGCCCTGCCCTGCCCCTGCACGTACCGTCCCG